CACAGCCCGGCTGATTGGGCACTAACTTAAGGTAACTGTCCAGCTCCCTCTTGAAGACAGCCAGGGGCCTATTGGTAATTTCCTTTATGCATGGTGGGAGACTGATGAACAGTCTTGGGCCCCGGACACTTATGGTGTTTTCTTAAGTGTACTAATGGTGCTCCTACTTTTCACTGGGCTTATGTTGCATCGCCTGCCAAGTCTTTTGCTTTAGTAGGGAGTGATTTCCGTGTGCAGATTCGGGACAGTAGTATGGTTTGTGGCATGAGGGTATGGCAGGAGTATGGCTTGAGGCGTGAATATGGCATGTGACTTGAGGGGTGCGGGAAATGTGGATGTAGAATGTGTGGCACGAGTGTGTGGCTTCTTGATAATATTTATATATGCTCACTGGCTGACAGAAAGCAAAGAAGAGGCACACTCGTAATTACCTCAGTTATAATATCAAATAATGATACACATAAAACAGATAACTATGTCTAATCATCATCAACAGGGAGACTAAGTGACAACAATTGTAAACCAGCAAAAATATACTTCCTAAAATATATTAAAATGTTATTCTTCCCAAACAGAATGAGAGAATAATGGAATGGAAACCAAGAGATTGTTGGAAGTTCTACCACCACTGGAAGCTTCAATAAACTCAACAGTGAAGAAGGGACACCACAAGCACAGCTCTGCCGTTGTAACAAACAGGTAATCACACATATGAGCAACGGGTCACAGATGGAATCTACGAGCACAGATTAGTCACACGAAAAAATGGATGCAGTTTTTTCCACTCTCTGGTTAGTATGAAAGCGAAATTGTGTGCAAGTGGCAAGTACAAACTTCATGTACATCTTAAGAGTGAGTGTGATAAAACTTAAGAGGATAGAAACCTGTTATATTGATCTAAGTAATTTAAGAAGCAGGACGGAGGTATGAATCGACCCCCACAACCCTACCTCGGTGAATATACACTTCATTAAGAACATAAGAAAGAAGGAACACGGCAGCAGGCCTACTGGCCCATGCGAGGCAGGTCCAAGTCTCCTACCGGCTTAAGCCAATGCACCCAACCTAGTCATTCACTTTAGGAAGGAGCACGGCATCTGACCTAGTATAACTGTACTCGGGAGTTTGTTCCACTCGTCCACAACTTTGTTACCAAACCAAGTGCTTTCCTATATCCTTCCCGAATTTGAATTTTTAAAAAACTTACAGCCACTGCTGCGAGTCCTGTCTAGGCTAGATATTTTCAGCACGCTATTTACATCCCCTTTATTTATTCCTGTCTTCCATTTATACACCTGTATCATATCCCCCCTAATTCTACGCCTTTCTCGAGTGTGCAGATTCAGGACCCTCAGTCTATCCTCACAGGGAAGGTTTCTGATACATGGGATCAACTTAGTCATCCTCATTTGTACGTTTTCCAGAGCATTTATATCCATTCTGTAATACGGTGACCAAAACTGTGCAGAATAATCTAAATGAGGCCTAACCAAGGATATATGGAGATAAATTAGACACATGTGCAACTCTTGGATATCTTTATTGAGGAAACGTTTCGCCACACAGTGGCTTCATCAGTCCATACGTAGGAGAAACTTGAAGAACAGGAGAAGAATGAGGTAATCAGTCCCTCAACCTTGAGTCGATGTGTTCAGTCCATCAATCTTGAATAGAATGGACGTATGGACTGATGAAGCCACTGTGTGGCGAAACGTTTCCTCAATAAAGATACCCAAGAGTTGCACATGTGTCTAATTTATCATGTCGGTTCTCTGAACCATTCATCTACAAGGATAAAGGATATATGGAGTTGAAGAACAACCTAAGGATTCCTATTATTTATGCTTCTTGATATGAAGCCAAGGATTCTGTTAGCTTTATTGCAAACTGTTGCCTTACTGAAGTCCATATACACAATATCATATTCATTACCATGATCTACCTCCTCAAATACCTTAGTGAAAAAAGTTAATAAATTCATAAGGCAGGAACGCCCCTTTGTAAAAACCATGCTGAGATTCGTTGATTAATTTATGCTTTTCAAAGTGGCTACGAACTGCCTCGGCAATTACTGATTCCATAAATTTTCCCACTATGGAAGTTAGGCTTATTGGTCTATAGTTCAAAGCTAAGGACCTGTCACCTACTTTAAAAATAGGTATCACATTTGCCATTTTCCACTTATCTGGCACCATGCCAGTTCGTAGTGATATGTTGAAAAGTTTAGCCAAAGGTTTGCTAAGCTCCTCTTTACATTCCTTTAGAACCCTTGCATACAGTTCATCAGGGCCTGGGGATTTGTTAGGTTTTAATTTATCTATTTGCCTAAGGACCATGTCACTTGTGACCCTAATCGTGCATAGTTTATTATCGTCCGTTTCTACATAATTTATTTCTGGAATATCGCTAGTATCTTCCTGTGTAAAAACTGAGAGGAAGTATGTGTTAAAAAGTCAACACATTTCCTTATCACTGTCCGTGAGCTGACCCGAGTAACTTTTGAGTGGGCCTATCTTGTCCCTGATCTTACTTCTGTATACCTGAAAGAATCCTTTTGGGTTAGTCTTCGATTCTCTTGCAACTTTAACCTCATAATCTCTTTTTGCTTTTCTTATTCCCTTTTTTATTTCTCTCTTTAACTGAATATATTGATTTCTTAATTGCCCCTCTCCTCTTTTGATTTGCCTATATATGCCTCTCTTTTGACCAATTAGATTTTTAATCTATTGTTCATCCATATAAGATCATTTTTGTTTGATCTAATTTCCCTATTTGGAATATAAATTGTCTGAGCAGCTGGAAGTATGCCCTGGAAAACGTCATATCGGCAGTCACCACCACCTACCTGACCCATAATCAGGTCATTCCAGTTCAGCCCACCCAAGCAATTTTTCAGTCCTATGAAATCAGCTAAGCAGAAGTCAGGGACAGAGACTAGATTGCCATTATTAGGGGAATTCCATGATATATTAAAATTGAGTGATTTGTGATCACTTTCCCCAAGCTCATCATTAACCTCAAGATTATTAATTAGTGTCTCCCGGCTGGTAAGAACCAAGTCAAGCAGGTTATTTCCTCTATTTGGTTCTGTCACAAACTGTTTTACAAAACAATCCTGAATCATATCAAGAAAGTCACCTGACTCTAAATTTCCTGTCTAACTGCTCCAGTCAATCTGTCTATAATTGAAATCTCCCATTAGCACAACATTTTCGTATGTAGATGCCTTACGAATTTCGTTCCATAGTAGTTTACTGCACTCCCTATCAAGATTTAGGACCCTGTAAATCATACACAAATAACCCGCTGGCTGGATGGCGAAACGTCTACGGTGGGGATGCCCGGGTGTTGTGCATGTGTCATTTCATCCTGTCGGTATTATATACAATTCTTGTACTACTACTACTACTACCTCCACCTCTTCCTGCCTATATATAGCCGTCCTGCTCCACCTCTGTTAGTGTGACTTTGTCAATGGTCCAAGTCGGTCCGAAACGTCGTCGTAAGCTTCTCTCTTTTATGTGCGGGTTATTTGTGTATCGTTCCAGTCACGGTATTGTGCCTTTTTGTTATTTATTCCTGTAAATCATACTCAAAATTAGTTTTGCACGGCCTTCGAGAAGTTGTAACCAAACAGATTCAGTGGCTGACGCTTCTAATTTTATATCTTGTCTAACACAACAATTTAAATTGTCTCTGACATACATCGCTACTCCACCACCCTTCCTCTTGACCCTGTCAGTGTGGAATAATTTATAGCCTTGTATGTGACATTCAGAAGGCATCTCTCTATCTTTCAGATTGACCCAGGTCTCTGTTATAGCAATAATATCTATGTTTCCTGCACTTGTAATTAATCTCAGCTCATCTATCTTATTTCTTACACTCCTGCTATTAGTATAGTAAACTTTAAGGGTGCTAGTCCCTTGCTGCCCTCTGTTGTCTCCCTTTGTTTGCTGACCTGATTTATTGTCTTTATTTATAACTTCATGATGAATGTCTTTTATACACTTACTCTTTTCAACCCTAATGTTGCAACCTGCCTGTTTCCCAAACACCACCTCCAGGGAAGCACTCACTAGATGCAGTGAGTATTACTAACTTACAACAGTGACATCAACAAACGAAATAAAGTGAAGGTTTTCCCTATATTGCTAACAGTCATCCCTTCCCCCGCACCCTTCCCACTACTGTCGCTCTCTCCCCACTAACACCCTCCCTTACTTCCCCACCGTCTTGGTATTCTCCCCCAACCATTTCCCTCTCCCACCCTCGGCGTGTTCACGATTTTCCATCCGGTGAAGTTTCTCCCTCAGTCTTTTAACTTGCCCATAACAGTTTTTGAAAACGTGTGATAGAACCGACCAGGAGGGCAGGAGAATTAAACCCACCCACCCATAGTAATATGATACGCCAGGTTAAGTTGCCCACTCATTCACAGACTACCTTTTGTGACTGTGAATGAGTCTTGATCATATATCCGTTGGTGAAGTGGCATGCAAACCTCATCACTCCTTAAACAATTAGCTCGCTCTCTTTCTTTCTCATGAGTAATTCTCAGCACCTAACAGCGCCCCAAGATATTACTATTACATAGAATAAGACAGCCGCACACTGCGGTTGTACCCAAGCTTGTTCAACTTAAAAAAATCACTCTGCCTCAGTTATCACAGTACACGTGGGCGACTGATTTAAGTTTTAGGAGACATAAGTGATCACCAACACTGATTAGCGGATGCAGAATCGAGGCTCTATCATGCCTTGTGTATGACCCTACAAGGGGTTACAATTTCGCGAAAAAAAAATGGAAGCAGCCACGCGAGTTGTAGCATAACGATTAATTTTCATATAATTACGCTCTGAAAGATATCTAGGTTTTAACGCAGTTTACTTATCAAGAAGAGTCGTAGCATGCCGACAACATGCATCACAAGAACGAACAACTCTAGTTTATTGCTGATCCTTGACGGGACTCTAAGTCATGAACAATGGTAACTTACTGTTCTTCATGGCAATGTCTACGTCCACGGAGATGCCCTTCATGCGCCTGATTCTCTGCGGGTCATCGTGCTCTGTATCATCCATCTCGAAGACCTTCACATGAGCGATGCTGCGAGGGACACTGTTGTACATGTAGGCTTGCTTCCTGCGCTGCGGCGGCGTGTGCATGCTGGCGCTGCTGTGAATGACTTTCCGTTGTGGCAGTGGAGAGCGAGACGTACCATCTAAGGTGTTGGCAGACTCCTCTGCCGAGTGCCGCCGCCGCGGCTTCCCCTCCGGAACAATCAGACTCTCCATCACTACTTTCTTTCACACCACCCAGCAAGGCATGCACACCTCAACTAATAATGTGACACCTGCACAAATTATGGTAATACAATTATCTGCTTCAAAATTGTACACTTCTTTAAAGGAATAAACTGCGCTGAGACTCAGGAAAGCACTTGCTCTAACGATAGTGTTAAAATAAGCAGTGTTGTGAGTGGATGTGAGCGGTCAGGAGCGTAGGGAGGCGACTAGTGTAGTGCTGCCCCCATGCTGGTCGCTCTGGGACTGCCGGTGGTTGAACACTCAGGATATGACATCAACTCGACATCATTCCAACAGAGTTACCTAATCTCATCTCTAACATCACACCAATCCATTACTCACCTATGTGCCTACACATTTTGTAAGTGTCTTGGTAATTTTTTCCACTAGTGATAACCTACATTGAAAGCGTAACGCATATCTTTGATGTTAAGTTTACATTACTGAAACCTTGTTAAAATAAAGAAATGTAAAAAGCGACAACCTGGCTTATCAAACAGGCAGCGTTGAACCCTCGATAACAAATCAGTTGCTTGACACTATAAAAATTCCCCAGTGCAGTAGTGACACAGAGGGAGAGAGGGTGCAGCTATCCTCACACCCGTATTGCCTCCCCCCCCCTTTCTCTTGTACAGATTACATGCTGACGGAGGGGAAGAGAGAGGGAGTGTTAAGTCAGAAGAAAGTGGTTCTGGGGCTAGCAATAGGGTAAACTGAATCAATAAGTGCTCGATGTGTCACCGCGCCTCAGACAGGGACAACAGTATCACCATTTATTCCTCCAAAGAGTCACTAAGCAGGTCATGGAATTAACACCCGTGTTAGGATACTGATGCCTGACAAACAAATCAAGGACTCAGGCACCTGAGGACTTCGTGTCATAACTGGAGCCAACACCACCACCAGCACGGATGGTACCACAGAAGCCTCTTGTGACACAGGAGCCTTCACATGGTTATCAGTGTCACTAATCAACTCTAGTAGCTACCCTAGAAACGTTTCTCACACTTAACATTTCCCTTATTATACGTTAAGAAAGTAATACTCTGGTGATTGTATACTGACAGTACGCTGGTTCTCTTACGAGCAGTGTTAAGAATGCTTCAAAGACGAGGAGGATGCACAAACATTCCTACATCAGCGGTCACTTAGCACCCCCGGCACACATCGACCACCCACCCACGCCTCTCCCATCACGTCATTATCAACTCACACATTCTACTCTTAATAGACTCAACCACCTCCCTGCATACAAGGTAACCTTCACGAGAGACGCCAGCGTGTCTAGTCTCTGAGAGGCTACATGAAGCACCTCTTCCACTGAAAATACCCTCACACACGTGTTTCCCTACATGCTCTTAAATTTGTTCACATAAGAGAGCGGCATCTAGGAGGACGGCGGCGCACACAAGGATGGTCTTAACGAGAAGCAGGTGGTAAGATACGTCTGAGTCAGGAAACTGAGATGACATTTGTGAGTCAGAAAGTTGTGATGACAGGAGGAACGTTTTCCCTTCCCACTCATGTCTGGCTTATCAGTGGTCCCTACCCTATATACCTGTCACTTCCCTCCCAATCACCACCCATCCTTTCACCTAACACCCATCCCACTCTCACCCGTCTGCAACAGTAAAGGCGCCAGGACCGTCCGTGCCTTGGAGTACTGAGCTTTTGACATTGCTAATATTCTAATATTCTTCGCGTTGTGTGTATCAGAAAGCTCAATATCTATTCGTCTACTTTAATTTTTATGAGCAATGACAACATGATCTCATTTTTCAAATGCTTTTGCAAAATCTGTGTACACCACATATGCACTTTGGTTTTCTTCCAATGTCTCCGCAATCCTGTCATGGTTCAGTACTTGTGACAAGCATGATCTTCCTGCTCTAAATTCATGTTGGTTTTGGTTCTGCAGGTTAGGCTGTTCCAGAATGTTTATGATTTGACACATCATCCTTTTAAAGACTGGTCAGTAATTTCTGGCTAGCGCTCTACTGCCTTCTATTATACAAAGGAGATTGTATGTCTACACTTCTTAAGGACCCTAGAATTTCACTTTTATCTATTTTCTTCCTCCAAAGAATACTGAGTAGTCATGCTAGAGGTATTTGATACTTTTTTATGAATAAGGAACTCCAGGAATCCGGTCCAATGTTGCAAGAGTGGGCATGTGTTCCAATTCCTTTTCAAATTCCACAGGATTAGTGTTGTCAATTATACGATGTGTAATTTTCAGATGAAATGAAACTGCATTCTCTACCCTGGTTTCGTTTAGTGAATTTACTTGAAGCTTACCTGGAGTCTCTTCTGGAGGTCATCGTCCCCGCGGTCCAGTCTTAGACCAGGCCTCGTGGTTACTGGCCTGATCAATCAAGTTGTTAGTGCCCGCCGCTTGCAATCTTAAACGTATGCACCACAATCCGGTTGATCAGGAACTGTTTTGAGAAATTTGTCGAGTTCCCTCTTGAAGACAGGGCGTTGAAGAGTCGCGGTCCCTTAATACTTATTGAGTTCGCTTCCCTACTTTTCATTGGAAGTATCCTGCACCGTCTGCCAAGCCTCTTGTGTTCATACGTAGTAATTTTGGTGTGAAGGATTCGTTCCAATCCCTGCAGTATCTTACAGGTGTAGGTTATGAGGTACCCTTCTAGCCTACGTTCTAAGGAGTACAGTCCTAGGGACTTTAATCGCTCCCAGCAATTTAGGTGTTTAGCTATGTTTATAGTTATACAATATGCGAAGGTCCTCCTAACATTTTTCAGCTGAGCAATCTCGCCTGCTTTCAAAGGGGTACGTTAGTACACAGCAATACTCCAGTCGCTGATGGCCTGATTAACCAGGCTGCTGTTCACATAATAAAAGTACTCAGTGCTTGTATAAATTCAGTCAAGGCCTAAAATATTGGGCGCGCTTGAATTCCGTCGACTTGTACTCCTTGAAACGTAGGCGAGACAGATATATAATTTAAACCTGGAAAAATCTAGGGGGATTCGGCTCAAATCTGTAAACCGAAATCACTCCCTATAAGAGCAAGAGGCTTGGCAACACAAAACATCCCAATGAAATGCAGAAGTGCAAATACACTAAGAGAGAACTCAGTAAGTGTAAGGGGACCAAGAATTTTCAACACTCTCCCTCCATATATAAGGGAAATTACCAATACACCCCTAGGTGTCTTCAAGAGAAAACTTGGTAAGTTCCTGAAGTCAGTTTCTGAAGTGCCGGGTAGCAGTGAATGCGTACGACCGCCATCCATCAGAAGGTTTGGTCTAAGACCGGGTCGCATTCGTATTAACCCCCGAAACCAAACCATCTGCAGGTGCATGTGTTAGTACTGCAGCTTCTACAGTAATGAGGGATGAACAGCTTGCTTATTACCATTTTTTCAGCAAATTTTTTTCTCGGTCATTACGATATTCAAAATCATGATACGTCAGAAAACGTTCTCAAGACAGAAAATGGAAGAACGTATCCTCTGACTAACTCACAATAATCTTGTTTTCACATAGGTGGCTTCGCTTCATATCTGGACAAACCAGAGACGGCAGTAGTGACACCAAAAGCAGCAGCTGCAGCCGATACCTACATCACTCTCACAAACAGGTAACAGCATGTGGTGGACAAATTAGCAGATCTAACAAAGTGCAGGAGTGCAGCAGTCCTGCCGACAAACCTGTAACACAACAACAATAGCGACCAAATACTTGCTGACCTGATAACTCCTGCTGCATCTAATTTAGGCCACACGGTTAACAGTACGTACTACCTCCTGTCTGGCTTTAGTTCTTACCTGTCTCCCTCTTGGAAAGTTAAGCCTACACCTTTTACCCAGGTATATGCCCCTCGACCTCAGGTAATCATGTATACTTTGTATCCCCCAAGGAACAAGCGACTCCTCTCTATCCCAGGTGGTAGCAGCCTTTCTCCTTGCCAGGTGCCTCACCCTTCTCTACTTGCCAATGCACATATTTTTGCTGCTGATTTATTATCAGGTAAAAATCACCGAAGACGGGTCTCATTCAAATAATGACCCGCTAACTGATGCTTTCCCTACAAGTATTAACTCTTGGTTTGTGTGTTACAGAGACCCAAGTGAATTTAGCGTTTCTTTTTTATGATGATAATAATAATAATAATAATAATAATAATAATAATAATAATAATAATAATAATAATAATATGCATTACCCCTCCCTTTGAAGCAGACTCGTCTGTACGATTTTCCTTTGTCATTATCTCTGGCATTAATTAACATGCATAGGCAGTACTGCCTGATTTTTGAAACAGCCATGAAATTAGATATTGTAAATTCTTGTCACCTACTTGGACTGTCTTGTACTGAACTTATAGCAGAATGGTCACTCGCACAATGAATAACAGTACTGTCATTACAGCTGTACATTTCACAGGATTCGCAGCGCTGCCCAATAAATTCGTCCCTCGTGGAAAAAAAAAATACAAAAATCTTTAACACGACATGCATTCCATTTGTTGCATTAAATTTATGACCTAAAACTGTTAGGAAGAATTAGCCAGAATTCCCGGGACTTGACAATTACATGGAAAGGTAATTGATGCCGGTTATTAGAGTTGCTGCACTCACCGGAAGGTAACACTTCTCTCACTATCACCTCCACCCCCCTAATGTCAGTACACACATCTCCCTCAACTCATGCACCTACCATACACCATACTTTACCCCTGACATACACCATACTTTCCCATATGACCCACTTCACTCAGCATCACATACACCTGTCATCCTAATTCGTGCACTTGACATCCCACTAACATCGAGCACTTCACATAGCCAACCCACAGTTTTGTTTTAAAAAGTTGGTGGAGTTCCACTGTGGGTGTAGCCTCGCAAAACATAGCTCTTCAATGATTGGTGTGTCACTAAGCATATCACCCACTAGTGAGAATACCGCCCACTAGTGAGAATACCGCCCACTAGTGAGAATACCGCCCACTAGTGAGCATACCGCCCACTAGTGAGCATACCACCCACTAATGAGCATACCACTCACTAGTGAGCATACCACTCACTAGTGAGCATACCACTCACTAGTGAGCATACCACCCACTAGTGAGCATAATACTCACTAGTGAGCATACCACCCACTAGTGAGCATAATACTCACTAGTGAGCATACCACTCACTAGTGAGCATACCACTCGCTAGTGATCATACCATTCACTAGTGAGCATACCACTC